GACCAAGTGTGTGTCTTTGAGGTTGGCGGAGATGGGAGCTTTACCTGAGCTTGATTACCAGGTTGAGGGAGTGAAGGGCGTATCAGCAGGTGAGATCTGTACCGCTGATGAGAGGTTGAGGAGGAGGAGGAGGCGGGAAGAAGGAGAAGGAAGGAAGGAAGAGGATGAGGAAGGAAGGAGAGAGAGAGAGAGAGAGAGAGAGAGAGATCCCATATTACGTTCTCTCCTCCTCCTCCTCCTCAAGCTGTAAAAAATAACCCAGCATATGTTAATTCCAGGAGATAATTATCCTCTTAATCCGGAAACTAAACCTCATTTTTCTCTCCCTTAAACTCCCTTCCCTCCCCCCCCGTCTACTTTACCTCCCCTCTACCCCCCTTCCTTCCCCTCCCCTTCCTTCCTCTCTCATTATCTTCCCACCTCTCTCTCCTCCTCTTCCTCACCCCCCTCCCCCACCTTAAAATATGGGATCTCTTTAACACCCCAGACTATAAAAGGGTAACGATCGCTTTAATATAATGTCTGTCTGTCTGTCTGTCTGTCTATCTTTGTGTATCTGTGTGTCTGTCTGTCTGTCTGTCTGTCTGTCTGTCTGTCTGTCTGTCTATGTGTATCTGTGTGTCTGTCTGTCTATCTGTCTGTCTATCTGTGTCTGCCTGTCTATCTGTGTGTCTGTCTGTCTATTTGTCTGTTCTGCTGTCTGTCTGTCTGTTTACATCTTTATCTGTCTGTCTGTCTGTCTGTTAGTGTTTCGTTCTTCTCTTGTGTGAAATATATTAATAAATTGAAGGTACTGGATGCCAATAGGCGTCATCCCTGGCCGGGTCGAGTTACCGGTACTAATTTGATAACAAGGAGGTAACGTTTCCGATGGTGATGTAATTAAGATGATTAAGGCGGGGATAAATGTTGGCTGATCTAACGTTGGCACAAACGTTTGATAAATGCTGATGGAAGGAACGTTTGTTTTAAATGTAATGATGATGATGATGGTGGCACAAACGTTCGATAATTACTGTTGGTACGAACGTTTTGTTATCTACTAAAATATTTGACAGAAAAACGTTCAATTAATTTATAAGTTGGAGAAATGTTCGATAATTAATTGGTATTGGTGGGAAACGTTCTTTGTGTACTTTCGTTTACTCATGGAGTCACAACTTGCAGGAGGAAACGCTTACTGTAATTGGCTGGTACTTTGTATTGGGAGGAAACTGTATTACTATTGGCTGGGAAAGATATTTACTAAGACATCATTATCATTATCTTCTTCCTTTCTTTATGTCATCATCATCATCATCATCTCTTACCATTTGTGTCTTTAATTAAACCAGCACGAGGCAGATCTCACTTACCTGTATTAATAAAAGGACTTCAGGTAAGGAAGCTATTGAATAATGCTTATTAAAGGTAACCTCTCAATTAAACCTGTAAGATAGAGCTAACATCCGGGTATTGAGAGAAATTATTCTTTATTTATATGTTGCTCCTAACACTATATATACTGTATATATACTATCATTTAATATAGTCAGTAAACTGGGGCTGTTTTATGCATATATGTGTGTTGTTAGAAGCGATCTTTATGTTAGACAGAGAGAGAGAGAGAGAGAGAGAGAGAGAGAGAGAGAGAGAGAGAGAGAGAGAGAGAGAGACTTTCGTGTTCTTAATTAATAGTTAGAAAAACATACACAGGAAAAGTTAGAGACGCATTTCTTAACTTAAAAAAAAATTTACTAACATCAACACAGAGGGAAAGGTAAGAGAGACACTTGTTTCCGTTAATAATCCTTACAAAACACTGAGTGAAGATGAGTGACATTCATCTTTACTTAAAAATAACTTACATCAACACAGATTTGCTGTAAGACAAACTCTAATTAAATATTACTAAAAGCGCTACATAATGAATGAGTAAAAATAAAAGACACTTAAATATTACTTACAAGACACATAAAGTAAGAGAACACAATAGACCTTTACTGAAACACAAAAAAAAAATATTAAAACTGGATAACTTTTGCAGGTTTATCGACGTATAAGCTCCACCTCTTTACTAAGAAAGCTAAACGCCTTTACCAATACACCTTAAGTGAGATAACCTCCATCACGCTGGTTTTATTAAGAGATAAACGTGATATAGGAATAGAGTAAAAAAAAAACTTCAATTCCATTACTTAAGGTCCAGTTTATGAGCAACAAACCAGGTAGTAGTGACCGCCTCCTCTCGTAAGTTTCCCCTTCTGAGAGTCCCTTCCACAGCGCTGAGAGGAAAGTTCCCATCGCTAGGAGGTTAGAGGCGACCCTTTAGTGGCTAGGAGGGATGGGAACGAGAGCTGAGAGTTTTGTATTTGGGTCAGGATATAATGCTAGGAGACTGTTGGTTGGTGAACTAGGAATGTCTTATGGTGGTTTTTGTTGCTGGGAGTAGAGCTGAGACTGTCTTATTGTAAGAAATAAACCAGGGAGGGACGAGAGAATAGCTGAGACAGGTAGCTAGTGAGTTAGGAGTGTTCTGTGGTTGATGCCGTAATGCTGAGAAGGCTGAGAGGAGAGCTGAGACTTTCACGAGGATGTCCGAAAATAGGTAAGATTCATTCGCTGAGAAGTAAGAGTAAGAGGAGCGGTGGCTGAGTGCATATTGCTCTCGCCTCTCATCCTAAGGGTCACTGGTCTGCGCTTGGGTCGTCACCGAGTCCACCCAGCTGTGAATGGGTACCTAATTTTACAGTTGTGGAAGTGAAGATGGTCGAGTACAGTGCCGGTCATGCTGCCTCCTTGTGTACCGAACGAAAAAATTTAATCTACAGGATTCAATTTTTACACCATAAAAAAATAAATAAATAAAATTAAAACTATAAATAATGATCTAACACACTCGTGGAAATTTTCAAGATGGAAACTTATAATCTACAAACCATTCCCATTCCCGATTCCCATTCCTGATCAAAGAGACTGTATATAGTAATTTTAAAAATGGTCCCGTGAGGCAGCAACGAGTAGGAACAGATTAGATGGTTTGGTATTCACTTGGTGTGTGTGTGTGTGTGTGTGTGTGTGTGTGTGTGTGTGTGTGTGTACAGGAAGAGAGACAGACGCTCGCTGGGACATGATTAGTTCCTAGAAGCGACGCCCAGGTGTTCGTAAGGCAGGTATATGATCAGCTCTGAGACGGCAGCTGGGAGAAGTGATTGTCTCTTTCTCCTTGCAGCTGATAGTCTACCATACAGCTGACACTCCTTGCAGCTGACACTTCTTTCAGCTGACACTTCTCTTTGCAGCTGATAGTCTTCCATACATCTCCATACAGCTGACACTTCTCCATATAGTGTGTGTGAGAGAGAGAGAGAGAGAGAGAGAGAGAGAGAAATTCTTAGGGAAGGTCACAATGTTCCTCAAGGTCTCTCTACCCCTTCAGGTCTTTTGTTATTCATGCCGCGTCAATTTACATTTTATAAATATCCTACGTGGTCTTTGTGCCGCTACTTCACCTCCCGAAAGTCTTAGAACGTTATAAAAAAACTCTTGTTTTTGTTTTGTTGTTTCTCTAAAATTTCTTGACTTCTCCTTTTTTCCTGGATGGGAGAAACTTTCATCAAAACTGTATGACACCCTTTAGAAGGTTTCAAAAAAAAATACTCATTACATTTTCTTTGATTCTTACTCCGTTTTATTTTGGGGAGAACGAAGACATCTTGAAACCCGTGTTGACTTTTTTTTAATATTCTAAAATATTCCTGAGTCATATTGCCTTCTTCTTCGCCTTCTTCATCTTGTTAGACGAGAGGGAAGAATCTTTATCAAATCTCTATGAACTGTTGTAATTTTTTCCCCTACAACTAAATATTCTGAGACGGTGAAGGAATATCAAAACAAAGTTGACTTAATTATTTTTTTTTTTAACTATTTTGAGTCTTAACCCCTTTTTTCACCCCCTCACACAACCCACTTCCCCTCACATCCCTACCTCCCCTCCCAACCCCTACATCCTCACACCCCCTCTCACTCCTCTCTCACACACAGCTTCACACCCCCTCATTCTCTCACCCCCCTCACTCTCACACACCCCCCCTCACTCTCACACACCCCCCATCAATGATATTTTTGCCTGTAGAGAATTAATATTAAACCACCAGTGACATGTTCATAATTTTCCTACTCTGTAAAACCTTTGGGTCTTACCGTCTCCTTTTTACCACAAGTTAAAATTGGTCTTTAAGCGATAGACGGGATTTACTGTATTTTATTAATTTTGGGGTTATAAATTTTTGGTTGGTTTCTGTTCGGTTGATAATTAATTAATATTGGTTGTATGTTCGTTAGCTAAGTTCTTCCTGTTTCTCTAATACTTTTGTCGTGTGGGGTGTCTCTCTCTCTTCACGCGGGGTAAAAAAAATACCAAACTCACTACAAACCTCAATTTCACAACAAAAGACCTCGAGTTTTTTTTTCGGTAAAGTTTTTTCCTCGTCTGTTTATTCCTTAATTTATTCTCTAGACGTTGGGTACTTTCCTTAAAATAAATTATGAGTTTTTTTTTCTTTCGTTGCTGCAAGAGTTGAATTTATTTGAGTTTATTTTTCCCCTATTGTTTCTTCCTAATTTACAATGTTGAGTAAAACCTCTATTTAACGAACTATATGGTAAGAGATGTCCGTTAGATAGATATATAGATAGATAGATAGATAGATAGATAAATAGATAGTTAGATAAATAGATAGATAGATTAATGTAATGTAGTATACTGTGATGTGACGTGATGTGATGTGATGTGACGTGATGTGATGTGATGGATGATGTGATGTGAGGATGGTGGATGACGTGATGATGTGATGATGATGATGATGATGACGTGGAAGGAGTGATGTGGATGACGTGATGTGGACGGGATGGAGTGACGGGATGTGATGATGTGGATGATGACGTATGTGATGTGATGTGATGTGACGTGATGTGATGTGACGGTAATTTTTCTAATAAATATTTTTCTCTCTTTTCAGGTAATTTGTGCTTGACATGTCTCGTATTTTTACTCAAGAGGATCTGTAATTTTTTTGTAAGTAGTTGTATTTTATTTCTTAATTTTTGTATTATATTTTTAGTCGATTTTTTTTCCAAGTAATGTTTTTATTTTATTCAAGATGTTATTAATTTTATTCTATTTGTTACTTTTATTTTGTAAGTACTTATGTTTTTATTAATTTTCATTATATTGTATTTTTTGACGTTTTTCTTTTAAGTTTTTTTTTATTTCGTTCAAGATATTTTATTTTTTTTATTTTTTATTTATTTTTTTTATTTTTTTAATATGTTACCCCTTGTACACGGGTTCCTCTCTCAGTTGAATAAGACCATCTGGTGTCACATTAAATATTAAAAGTGGCGTCCCGATAGTGATTGCTGCGACCTTGAGTACGATAAATAATCCCCAGAGTACGATAGCTCATCTCCAGTGTACGATAACTGATCCCCATAGTACGATAACTAATCCTCATAGTACGATAACTAATCCCTAGAGTACGATAGCTGATCCCCAGACTACGATAACTAATCCCGAGAGTATGATAACTGATCCCCATAGTACGATAACTAATCCTCATAGTACGATAACTAATCCTCATAGTACGATAACTAATCCCTAGAATACGATAACTAATCCCGAGAGTACGATAGCTGATCCCGAGAGTACGATAACTGATCCACAGAGTACAATAGCCGCTAGAAGGAAGTTAATTAACGATACTTGTAAATGGCGGAGTTTCTTTCTAAAGACTATATTTACCCGAGGGAGCGAGGATCGTTGATTGTGTGTTTGTCCTCTCAGAAACATTGTGTAAGTTTTGATTGTGTATGTATATTTAGTTCTCTCTTTTCCACTCTTGCTCTTATCTTCTACTTAGCCTTTTGTATTCTCTCTCTCGTATATATCATAAAACATTTAGTATTTATCGGTCGTAAAAAGTCCAGTGCTTTACCCCGACCATTACTGCATCCGTGAAACACATCCATAATGTTATAGATTTTCTTTAATAACAAATAACTACTGTAATGTACCTTTATATATGTATGTATGTATGTATGAATGATCAGCATCTATTAATGTTTGTGTGCGTGTGTGTGTGTGTGTGTTTCAGTACGTGTGTGTATCATAACACTAACACACACACACACACACACACACACACACTTGAGCGAACTAATTGTGGTGAAAGGCCCACAATAAAGCCACAGACAAGAGGACTCTACCTGAGCTAAATAATAGTGACTTTCAAAATTATTTCTTTTGGTTCGAAAGCCTGTCTTTGTGTTATTTAAAGGAGAAATAAAGATAAAATGAAGTTGCTATATTTATTTGGGTATAAATCTGCTGAGGTAGGTGGTGGGTGTGGTGGTGGGTGGTGGTGGGTGGGGTGGGTGGGTGGGTGGGTGGGATGGGTGGGTGATGGGGTGGGTGGATGGGTGGGTGGGATGAGGTGGATGGGTGGGTGGTGGGTGGGATGGGTGGTGGGTAGTGGGGTGGATGGGGTTATTTAGTCACTTTAGGGTCTCTGTGATTTGTTTCTTTCTCCCTTCCCCCCTTCCTTTTCTTCCTCCCCTTCCTTTTCTTCCTCCCCTTCCTTTTCCTCGTCCTTCTTTTCTTTCTCCTCCTATTTTTACTCGTTATCCCTCCTCATCCTCTTCCTTGTTCACCTGAAACCAATTAGGTAGCTATTTTGGGACAACCAGTAATACCATCAGCCATTATTGCTTACGTCTCAACTCTAAAGCGATTTGTCAAGAACCGAAATGCTGTAAAAGTTCTGCTATGTTGTTATATGTTACCATTAATACCACGAACGTTGTTATATGTTACTATTAATACCACGAACGTTGTTATATGTTACTGTTAATACCACGAACGCCAGTACTGTCTTGTCGAGTTGTACTGTACTGTATATTGCTTGTGTGTGTCTGGTAAAAGATATAGTTAGCGTAAGTTAGGTTAGTGTTAGGTTAGGTTAGTGTTAGGTTAGTGTTAGGTTAGTGTTTGTGTTAGGACAGGTTAGCAAGGGTTAGTACATAGCAGGTTAGTGTTATGTTGTGACAGGTTAGTGTTGTGTTAGCAGGTTAGTGCTTGGTTGGGGTGTTAGTGTTGTGTTAGGTTAGTGTTAGGGACAGGCTAGTGTTAGGTTAGTGTTAGTGTTGTGACAGTATCAAAAGCTAGTTAAAAGCAGGACAGGTTAGTGCCAGGTTAGTGTTGTGTGCTAGGGATAAAGCAGGTTAGTGCTAGGTTAGTGTGTTAGTGTTAGATAGTGTTAGTGTTGTGTTAGTGTTAGGTTAGCAAGCAGACAGCTTGTGTTGTATTAGTGTTAAGTGCTAGTGTTGTGTTATGTTGTGATCATGCTTATTGTGTTAAAGTGATAGGTTAGTGTTAGGTTAGTGTTAGGTTAGTGTTAGGTTAGTGTTAGGATAGTGTTAGGTTAGTGTTAGGTTAGTGTTAGGTTAGTGTTAGGATAGTGTTAGGTTAGTGTTAGGTTAGTGTTAGGTTAGTGTTAGGTTACGTTAGGATGTTTATATTGAAGCAGTTTATTTGTTAGGTTAGCATTGGATTACGTCGGGTTAGGTCAGGTTAATTAATCGTCAGGTGAAATAAACTGGGGGTCTAATCTCCAGATCGTCATCAAAAGGTTAAAACATCGTCCTTAAAGGGAAAAAATCATCATCGTCAAAGGGATTAAACCATCGTCGTCAAAGGGTTAAACCATCGTCGTCAAAGGTTTAAACCATCGTCGTCAAAGGGTTAAACCATCATTCTCAAAGGGTTAAGATACGTTAAATAAATTGGTGTATAACATCAAACTATCCTTAAATAAAAAACAACAATTGGTCTTTAGGTTAGGTTAGCTTCTCTAAACATTCCTTTAAGATAATAATCCTCACCTCAAAACACCTTCTCGGAGTTGCTCAACATTCTGAACCATCTTGAACGACTTAAAAAAATTGTTCCTTACTTTAAAACATCAGGAAACACTTCTTACTGAGATGGTCCCGTGTATGAAGACTCAAGAGGCTGGTCAGGGAGGGAGGGAAGAGGGGGAAGGGAGTTTAGCAGGGAGGGAGTTAGGGAGAGTGAGAAGAAGAGGGAGAGAGACAGATGAAGTGATGGAGGGAGGATGGGAAAGATAGAGGGTGAGAATGAGGGAGGGGGGGAGTGTGGAGGAAAGAGAGGAAGAAAGAATGGAAGGTTAGTTGGGTGGATGGGATGGAGGGTAGGAAGGAGGAAGGACGGGAGGGAATGTAGAAGGAAGGTGATGGATACGGGAAGGAGGGAAGGAGTGTAGGAAGGAGGGAGGGAGTGTAGGAAGGACGGGCTATAGGAAGAGGGGGGAGTGTAAGAGGGAGGGAGGATATATTGGTCTCGGGATAACCAATAAAATTTTACAATATCTCCCCCACCACCTTTTTACAAGCCGGGGACCTGGTCGACCACCTGTGAGGGGGGGGGTGGGAGAGGGAGGGGAAAGGTGAGGAAGGTGAGGGAGAGAGGTGGTCACGGTCAATCGATGGAGAGTGCAACACCTCTATAATACTCCACTAAAACCAACGATATAGCCTCAATATAGCCCACTGCTGGTTCTTATAGGGGTATATGTGATTATGTAGTGTAGCTCCTCGTGGTATATCGTCTCGTTATGTACTGATGCTGTGACGGTCCAAATATACTGTTTATATATAAGAGCTACCATCACTGACTTGAGTTAGTTTAAGTGACCCAATACCTCAGAGGAGAGAATACGGGTTAGGTCAGGTCAGGTCAGGTTAGGTCAGGTCAGGTTAGGTCAGGTCAGGTCAGGTCAAGTTAGGTTAGGTTAGGTCTCGTGTTGGTCATTTATAGGTGCTGTTTATAAGGCAAAATATATCCCGCCATTACTGGACCCTTGAAACTAGTGAACTGCGGGAGAGAATTTATTTTAATAAAACTTTAAGGTGATGTATGTATGTATTTATGTATGTATGTATGTATGTATGTATGTATGTATGTATGTATGTATGTATGTATGTATAGCAGGATACTCTGAGAAGGGTTTAAAAGAGGGAGGAGTAGTGGCCAGGAGGAGGAGGACATTGAGGAGAGGAAGGAGAAGTAGGCAGTGGGGAGGAAGAGGAGGAAGAAGGAGGCTTGAGGGAGGATTCTCAGAAGTCAAGAGTAGTGAGGGGCTGTTCTTGGAAATTAAAAGGATTAGGGAAAGTGCCAGGTGAGGTCAGGTAAGGTTAGTCTCTCTCTCTCTGTAAGTAGAAAGACACCCAGGCGTTACATAGGTGCTCAGACGTAAAACAAAGGGAATAAAAAGACCTAACCTAACCCTAACATAACCTACTGTAATCTAATAACCTGACCTAACCTCACCTAACCTAACCTAACCTAACCTAACCTAACCTAACCTAACCTAACCTAACCTAACATAACCTGTATAATAACTAACCTAACTAACCTAACTTACAACAACTAACCTAACATAACATTACTGTAATCTAATAACCTGACTAACCTCACCTAACCTAATCTTGAAGAGGATATACATATGAATTCCTAGCATAAATTATACATAGAAGATTTACCTGAAAATAAACCCAAAAAGATTTAATACTGAACAAAGACTGTATACATAAGGATTTAAACCCAACAGATTATACATAAAGGGATTTGGGATACACAAAGACTGTATACATAGGGTTTAATGGGTCAGATTACATGGAAAGTATTTGAAAACACAAAGCTGTATACACGAGGATTTACCCAGGGATGAAAGAGAGTGTAGCGGATTACTGGATTACAGATGTGGTGAGCAGCTGCGTCTCTACCCCTCCCCCTCACCGGGCCAGCACGAAGCTAATTGGTGAATCTAATTTCAAGACGTGCACCTGGAGTGTTAGCTGATGATTATAGCTGTGTATTATAGCTGTGGTGGATTATTATAGCTGTGATGGATTATTATAGCTGTGAGGTTATTATATATCTGTATTATAGCTCTATTATAACTGTGAGTAAGTATTATAGCTTTGCATTATAGCTCTATGGGATTATTATAGCTGCG